TGAAATAAAAACTATTTATTCATTTTTTGACTTTGGAACTTGCCGACAATTAATCTTAGGAAAAATCCTTGATGTTTCTGTGCCAGATACTTAACGAATCCAGGCAGGATCCTTTCAAGATTCGTTCTTTTTTCTGAGAAGATGACTAAATTCTGAAAAAAGTGTGTAGCCACGGAATTTCAAGATCCTAGCAGGATTCGAAACAGGATTTCGTCAGGATTCTGAACAGAATGCCATTGTTTTTGGGTCGGATGTAGGTGTGGGTGTAGGTGTGGATGAGTGTGGATATCTGGGTGGTATGCAAAAGCAGACAACTCCCACTCTCACCCCCACACCCCAAGAAATAGTTTTGTTAACAGAATGACTAAAAGACGACTACAAGCGTAAAATTGTTTTAAATGACTCAAAGTTTGTTTTCATATTTATTAGAACATCTGAAATATGTTTTTCTAAGTTTTTTCATCATAACGATTGTGTTCCATTGCTGATAACATGATTTTTCAGCTTCATTTTTAAAATTGTTTCAATATTTTCGGATCAGGTATCAATGACGTTGTGTTATTTCCCATTTAAAATGAGATCTATTTTGATTTGACTTATAAAAATAATATTTCCATTTGAATATTGTGTAAGATTCCAGGAATTTTTTCAATTTGATACTGTAAATTCAACGTCATCATTCATATTTACCATCAGTAGGTTTCATTTTCGATTCGGTTGTTTCATAGAGAATCCGTTATAGATGTTATTTTGCATCATAGAGTCATCCCCAACTCCTGGAAAAATATTTTTCTCTACCCCATCCTAGGGTAACATTAGAGAGAAGATTCAAACACATAATGACAGCTACGCCCACCCAGCTGTTGAGAGTCATCTGATGAAATTATCATATGACTGCAAATTTTATTAATCACGAAAAAAGAATCTATGTGATCAAAATAGCATTGCAATATTTATATAAGTTAATTAGTAATGGATTATGTGTTCACTGATTTCCATTTGTGATGTCTTTACGTTGCGATAGATTTATGAAGCATATTGATTAAAGCCTTGATTTCCATTTCAAAATACATAAGAAGAGCTTCAGAATCATTTACTTGTTCAGGTTTTTCTCAAATACCCAAGGGTAATTCAAAATCGATTTTTTTCTAGTGTCTTCGTTTTATTACATATAGAAAATGTTTGTTCTTTCAAGAGTCTGATATGCCAAATTATGTTGACTGAAACATCTTTTGTCTGATGAAAAACATTCAACAAGTCAGAGTTTTCTATTTGCTTCTTTAGAAAAAGGGTGTGGGTAAGATGAAGACTAAACCCCACACCCTTGATGATATCTCCGACGAAAACACTTGTATGCAAATTTGAAGGAGGGTTTTCGGGAAAGGATGTGGATCTGGTGAGTGTGGGATGGCTATTATCTGCATTAATCTGCCGCGCCCCCCCCCCCCCCCCCCCCCCGCCCCGCCCCGCACGCTTCTTCCTCTTACCCTANTCCAGGTAGCTAAATGTGACACCATTAGTACAGCTAAACAATTATCTTGTCTGTTATAGATTGATGAAAATGAATCTTTTATTGTCTCATACAAATTAAGCATTTCATTCATTTGATTTAGCAAAATGGTCCAATGAACAAACAAAAGATTTTCAATTTATCTTCCATAGTCTTCAAATTGGTATGAAAAAAGGCGTATGTGAGAAGAAATGCTATTCGCCTGGAAAAATTATAAGCCACTACCACCAGGAAAGATAGTACCGATCGGTGTGAAAAGCAAAAAGAAATAGACCTTCGAAGAATGAATTCGCCTTTACTAATACAATAATTCTATTTTGATTTTGGTTTTCTATCAATTATTCTTTAAACTTCTTAGTAATTTTGCAGTTTTTTTATTGATTTACATTGATTTTCTAGTATAGTAAGCATATTTTTCTACTAATACAAGTAACACTCGTCGCTTCGACTCGCTTGACCCTCGACTGAATTAGATCTATTAATCATCTCTTATCATTTCATGAATTCTGTTTTGAGAATTATTGTTCAACACGCGCACATAGAAAAATCCGTCTATAATATTGTCAGTCACGACCATTTTGTAAAAAGATCGAACGTTTCTATTTTCTGTTGAGTCTTTTTTAAATGTACTTTAACAAACAGCTCGCATCTGATCATCATGGTTGAGTTACACTCATGCTTCAATCTCCCCAGAACGCAGTCCGACGTTTTGCGTTCTTCTTCCGAAATTTTCACTTTTATCTAGAACCATCTCTATTTCCAGATCCCATAGCTCTATCTTGAATGTGACTTTGTCGTTCAAAGTAGAATTGAATAGAATTTCCTGCAAAATCTTTATTCTGCTGAAATTCCTTCTTAACTGAAACGTCATCAGCGGCTGTCCACGATCCTGAATTTTTTTGCAAATTATTCCTAAACCTTAGGATCAAAGAAGTCCGTATGAGAAAATCTACAGCCCTGTAGAGACTGGTATTTCACCGATTTGCTTCTTAGAAAAATGTTCTCTTTTACTCATTTTTGTTCAAGAAAGATGAAGATTTTGTTTTTTTCAATCCATATTGACTATATCAATATCAATCGATGAATCTTTAAGCATGATTCAAGAGAGTGCCGATGGTGTTCAACATTGATCAGACAAGATAATAAGCAAGCAGACTAAGTAACGGGTTACCAGCCAGCTACTCAGGGACTTCGTTTCATTGGAGTCTCACAAAAAATCTCACTGGTAAACGAATATCACTGAAGTAGTGAACTGAATCTGAGTTGTTTCGGGTTTGAGTAAAAAGTAAAAAAAACTTTACATCAATATCAAACTCTGTTTTTGAAATGTCGATTCGACAGAGAAGTCCTCTAGCTTCCAAATGATGTGCCTTGTTTTGGGAAAAATAATCAATTCATGGAATTAGAGAAGGAAAATATACGAAAAAAGTCGGAGTCTGATTTAAACTCGACTTCGATTTTTTTTGCGATCGTTTTCTGCGTAGAACTGCAGGAATAAAACGTTTTCTCAATCCAAGTGCATCATTCGAAAGCTAAAAGATTCCACTATCGAATTCACATCTCGCAAAAGAGTTTGATCTTGATGTAAATTTTTTATTTACTGTTTACTCAAAACCCGAAAAAACTCCGATGCAGCTCGCTACACTGAAGATACCGATTTCTTCGTAAAAGATCAATGCTTGCGTAGCTTACAATATTGCTTGCTATAGTATTGAAGCTTTGACACAGATCTTAACCATAGAGAAAAAGTTCAATATTTATATTTGAAGAAAGTAAAGAAACTGCAAGCGGCTATTAACTCTTATTTTATATAGTTTCTGCCTTCATAATGTGTGCAAACAAATACATATTATCTCTGTTTCTAAGTTATCCTAAATCCGATTTTCTCAATGATCATTGTTTACGTTTAACCAATGAAAATATGTCTTTTTATCCACACGAAGCCTAGTTTAACACAAATATACTTATTCTTACTTTCCACCAAAAATACCTTCGAGATGTTGTACGTTTGCACAAAACTTATTTACCAGACTTGATTGGAAGAAATCATTTTTCAGCTTTTCATCGTTCTCGGACACTCTTTCAAACGATGCGACTGCTTCAATAGAAACTTTTTCTATTTCTTCCAGTACCCTCAAAACTTCCTTTCGACCAACTTTTCAAATGAGCGGCTAGTTGTGAGTGGTGCCTCAGAACAACTAACCGTTCGCATGCTCGACTCTGTCTCTCAAAAGACTATCTACTAATTTTTACAATATAACCAATTCAAGTCCACTATTCCGACAAATTTGCATTAATAATAGAAGATTTCTCAAGAGGAAATTCCAAACACGAGATTTTGTTGTGAAGTATTCCTTGTCTCTTGAATTTTACGGTCAACCTCGAAAATCAGCATTACACTGTAATCCTTCATGAAAGAAATCTTCCTGAAATATGCTAGAGAAACGTTCTAAATCTTATCCAGATCTTTCCCAAAGCTCATCTGCAGTGAATGTTCAGACCAACGACTAGCCACTCAATCGCCTAAGTCTACTTCTCCAATCAATCATACACGTTGAATTACAATCTAACTGTTAAATGTTTTCCTTCCTTCAAAAAATCCTTGAATTTATAACAGAAGTCTTGTCGAAGGAAAATTCAATATAGTAAGGCTGTTTTGCGACTAACATAGGCACGTAACTGATCACTTTGAGACGGCAAGTAACCAAATTTCTCTTATCTCGTCTGACTCTTCCTTCACTTAAACGAGAAATCATATTTTTCATAAAAACTTCTTTCTCTGTCATAAAAAACACTGAAACTCAAAATTTCCCAAAAAACTTACCACAGATGCAGATTTCTCCAATCCGATTACCTTCGGTCAAACTTTATAAAAATTCATTATTTTTCGTTAAAAAAGTTTTTTTTTGTCTAAAAAAACTCCAACTGAAAATTTTGAAAAACTAATCACGGATTCGGACTCTTCGATTTAGATTACCTATGGCCAAGCTTTATAAGCGGTTTGTAACTCGTTAATTTGTTTGGACGTGACTTAACACGTGATTGCAAACATACAAACCCATTTTATTTCATATGACCCTCTCTTCAGTCGAGGGAATAAATTAAAATATTTTACTGCTACTCATATTTGATAAACTGATCATGTAACAATAAATTAGTGATAACTTGAATACTAACCATTTCATGTATTTTACTGACTGCTCAATTCATTAGAACATGAACAAATTCAATAATAATTCGCTTTGACTTGAAAATGTTAGATTTAAGATTAGAATCAAATCTGCAATGTTCACTCGATACCGATTTTGTTTCGTTCAATGTTTGAATTCGATATTTACGTAGATTCACCTTAGATTAAATAAAACTCTATATATTCAATACTGACATTCATGCTGTTTTATTCAACTTCATTGTTATATTTAAGATACTTATATTTTTTTAAAATGAAAAAAAAATTATTTTTTCGGTTTATTTTATTTTAGTTTATTTGTTACCAGTTAATATCAAATTTAACTGGAAAATGATCACTAATATCAAGTGCTTGATCCAATGTCATACCAAAGCGCTGTTGAAAGTTTACTGTCGTATTACTTCCTTGTACAATAGCTCTCACAAACTTGTCACCATTAATAAGAATACGATCATATGTACATGTTTGTCGTGTATTTGTTTTAACTTCATTATTAATCATCCATACAAAATCAGCATAATTAATAGAACTAAAAAGTAGTTTTCAAATAGAAACAAAAACTTAGATAATTTATTTTGTATTGATATAAACAAACCGTAGTGATTGTTGACGTGTCAAAGAAATATATGAACAATCTGCATTTAAATCACCAATAATTAAAATAGGATGATTTGTTCTTAAACTTGGCTTATTAGTACTTGTTGCATTAATTACATTTTCTTCTAAAGCGTCGGCTAATGATGTTGATGTTTCATTGAAATATTGAGCGTTTTTTAGAATAAAATCTTCTATAACATAACGCATATCAAGAAATTCTTGATATGCAGCAGTAGGTTTTGAATGAAGATTCATGATAGTAAAATATTTAACGTCTGATGTACCATTTTTAGTCACTTGAAATGTACCGATGAAGCTAAAAATTATAACAAAAGAATATATAAATAGAAAAGCAAAGACCTTTAAGTCAATATGTTACGGTGGTCGTTCAAAACGATTTCCAACATCATCATAGAGATAATAATTAATAAGTTTAACACCTGATGTTGATTCACGATTGAAAAATATATATTGTTCTTTTGATGTTGAACGTCCAACACGTGGACTTAATGTCATTGAATATGGTTTTGATTTTGATTTCTTATTTAAAGCTTCAAATAAAACATATGGAGCTTGTATTGTAACATCTGTAATTTCTTGAATAACAGCCAGGTCAAAATCATTAATAATATCAACTATATGACCTGTCAATGTGGCACTTGCTGCTTTTGCACTTCCGTATTGATGTAAATTAAATGAACCAATTCGAACAGTTGAAACATATGTGAGAAATACACACATTAAAAATAGGATAGTTGAAATAGTTTTCATCCGTTTGATTATTATTTATATGAATACTGTCTTTCAAAAGAAAAATATTTTATTCAGCTTATACATATTTTTTTCGAGTATATGATTATATACTTGATGAAGCCAGTTACGCCTTCACAAGAGAAAATATGTCCTTTTTCTCAATGAATCACTCTTTTGAAGGATTTAGCATAAAAATATCGCATCAAGGAATAATTTCTTTTGATGATTATTCGAATATACATTTATTTTTCCTTTGGCTTTATTTAAGCATAGACTGAAAGAAAAGAAAAAGATTGATTTTCTGTTGTTATTAAGATTAATTTGTAATACCAATTTTATTTTTATGTCTTATATCGTCTTATCTTATTGCATGAAAATATTTAAAAAAAAAACTTTAAAAATAGAAGCATGATAAGGTTTTCAGTTAATATATATGTTGACGTAAATGTTATTAATCAACTGAAATCCCAAAAATCAATCATATTCTAGAAGATTTTCACTATAAAGTTTGTAATATAATGTTGAGATTAATGATTTCACAGAACTCTATGGTTAGAGATAAGATACAAGTGAGAGAGAATAGTTTGATCGACATTATTATACTACAGGGAAGCTAAAGAAAAACTTTTTTGAAGAAATGAATACTTCGTTTGATTCACGCCATAGGTAGAAGTGTTAGATATAGATCTACTACCAGTACACACCTCAGATCGGTTGATTAGTCAATTGATCTGTCTGACAGTGATCGGATATGTCTTTCGCTTTTTTTATATAACTTATTCTATCCATTTCTAGAAATAAACAATTAAAGTGATACGATTGCTTCAGATAAAAAGAATTGGATCGATGGTAAAAGTAAAACTCCTAATTCATCAAAAGAAATAATCTGAAAATCATAACAAAGCTAATGGTGAAAATTCGGCTGATGATATACAAAATAATATAACAACAATAACAGAACCAACAAAATGATCTGTTTCATCATCAAATCAGAAGAAACCTATGTAACTATAAGCAAATAACGTAGTACAGAAAATGAAATATTCGAAGACCGCGAACAAATAATAAAAGTGTAGAAGCTGAATATAATTCTGAAGATGGTCAGATTATTAATCTTGATTATTTATTTTTGATTTCTTAATTAATCTCTTTATAGACGGTCTACCAGCACAACAATCAAAACAAAGTCATCCAGGTGATAAAGATGCATCATTATCAACTACTGTAGTAAAATTAATACTCGTATAGCTAAGAAGAAGGTCAAAGCGACATAAAAAAAATAAGAAATCGTTATCGATTGTGTGAACATTAATCAAGAACATTTTTCTTTTTAATATTGTATCAATAATTTTACTTGTTCACATATTATGATTGTGCAAATACCTCTCTACTGTATTTTTTTCTTGAAAATTCTCTTCATAATCTCGTGTATATGTAATATTTTTTTCGGGTATATGATTTATGGTCAGTAACATAAATTAGACGGTCAATATATGATAGATCAAAAAATTACTTTAAATGGTTAGTTAATAATTAATTAGGTTTGTAAATAGATTTAAAAATCAGTAGATAGAATTTATTAACACTCGATTGTATTAAAAAGTCAATATATCAATTAAAATGGTTAGTGTGAATCACTTTTGTTCTTCTTCTCACATACGCCTTTTTTCATACCAATTTGAAGACTATGGAAGATAAATTGAAAATCTTTTGTTTGTTCATTGGACCATTTTGCTAAATCAAATGAATGAAATTCTTAATTTGTATGAGACAATAAAAGATTCATTTTCATCAATCTATAACAGACNATTATATCTTATCGATTATAGTCATCCTTGACATAATTTACTTCGTTTTTCTTGAATAGTTAGTTCTATTTGATTCTATTTTATTTTAATAACTGTATACATTGTACAAATCACAAAAAGAAACAAACAAGCCTCTTGTCTTTTACAGGTTTTAAAAGACTTTCATCTCACTTTACATAAAATCGAATAATATAACTCATAAATTTTTAGAAAAAAAATTCCCTGTGAATATTCATTCTACATAACAAATAAATTAAAATTTCACTTAAACATTCGTTTGATCATAATCTATCAACAATCTCTAATCGAATATATATATTGCCGTAGGCAACACGATGAAAATGCCATGAAAGAAAAAAGAAAATGACCTAATCGAATGAAATAAATCATTCTCGAAAGTTTCTTTTGAAGTTATAGTTCATATAGAAATTAGGATATGTATGTTCCGTTTATTGACCAACGATTCATTGTAGTTAGTGTACGTTGACACTAATCTTAACTGAGATATTGAAACTAAATATTAAGCAAGATGGTTCCAGGACCAAGACCAACAGTTTTTCATTGGGAACGATATCTTCTGTGGTGGTATACAATTTGCGCCGAATGTCATAATATCACGACTCATCTGTGATCTGAATACATACGAGCAACATACGGATCGATACCAAAAATAAATGATCCCCAACATTTCTAACTAGAGCATGCTGCTATATAAAAAGCATATTTTGATAGAGTTGTTGTCTCAATATTGTAGTGAACCTTGATAGAAACCAATGTTCTTTCAAACATAACTCATTGAATTTATTTGAAAATACTTATATATATAAGGTGAGAATAACAATAGCAAATATAAAACAATGTTAAACATAATAATATAAACTATGATAGAGAATTGTTTATAAATCTATTTTTAGAATAATCGAATGCAATTTTTGAACAAAAAAAAAAAGGAGAACGAGGTAAGGAATAAGCAAATGAAATTTCATTATACATATAAGAAAGGCACAAGCAAAAACAAACATTTGATTAATAATACATGGACATAATCTGACATGCCGAAAGAGACCTCATTGCATCTATAGAATAGAATAGAATATATATATATATGTCTATATATATATATACGCAATTTTTTTCTTCTTATTGACAAACTCTTCAGTTGATCACCACCGGAAATGAAAGATAAGATTCGAAAACCAAAACATAAATCTTATCTATGAATTCATTTGTAAAGTTTCATCTCCTAAATGATCTTCGTCACTTGTATTATCTGTTGAATCAAAATAAACTGAACTATGTTCTAAAATAAAATCAAAATTATTTAAGTGAATAAAAAAAAAACAATAAATTTTATTTTTGTTTCATACTTCGTCTTAATGGTGAAGTTGAATAATCAAATGAACATTTTTCATTATCTGATTCATTATATTCCGTTTGATTTATATTTATATTTAAACGTCGTCGACTTTTATTCTTATTATTTGAACGTATTAATTGTTGATGTTGTTTTCGTTGATTATGTTTTGGTGATTGAACATCATCAATCCAATCCCAATCAAGTGCATCAATTGATTGATGAGATTGTGAATATCGTTTTGTTAATGTGCCAAGATCAGTTGCAATGTGTTCCAGATCTGTATAAAATCGACTTGTTTGTTCTAATGCACGTTCTAAACCTTTTTCTGTTGATATATAAGACATAACATGAGATTCAGTGACTGTTTCTTAAAGAAAAAGAAAAATTAGAAGATTTTTTTTTGTGAAAATATTTTTACTTACGTGTATCATGATGAAGTCCTATATCTGAATCATATTTTCTTAATGATATTTCATTATCATCACCACATTTTTTATGATTTCGAATAGGTATTTCAGGACAATCCACACCTGAATCACCTGTTAATGAATTGGAATGATAAGAATCCTGAAAAAGATTAGTTGCGCTTAATGATGAAGACATTTCTGACCATGTCATTTCATCAATAATTGTGTTATTACGAATATCATCATCATCATCATCATGTTCATGTTTTATATTTATTAAATCATCTTCATCTGCATATGATTTATTTGTTGATATCGATGATAAAGATTTTTTTGTCTATATGTACAAAAGAAAATCTATTTTTTATTGTAGAATATTCTTTTTCAACTTACATCACTTTGTGATTTAATAGATAAATTTGTATTGGTTGCAGAAGTTAGAAAATTTGTAAGAAGTCGATAAATAATACAACAACCAACACCGATACCAAAACCAATTAGATAACAAATTGTTTCACTACGGCGAACTAGAAATAAATAAAAAAAGAAAAAGTATTTGATTAGTTTTGCTTGAATATAATAAATAATCGATTTCCAGGATATCAATCTCATTTAATGATAAATTCGACAAAAAAGATTGTATTATCTTCTTATATTACCTTTAGTTAAAATGTTTCGTAAAAATATTACAATTAGAAATTTAGTTGATTTAAATGAATAATTAAAATTATATGAAATTGAACGAATAATTATATAAAATGGTTCCGAAATAATAAAACGCCAAGATGATATTTTCTTACGATTACAATTCACATCCATGGCAATGATTTTGCTTTACGCTCGCTTTCTTATTTCCATAGAAATATATACACAAGAGAGCATGTTCTCTTTATTTTTTCTCTCTTAATGAACATATGAATATCCTATGAGAGAAAAAAGAATAAAAAAAGTTGTCAATATTGATCAAATCAAAATATCGACAATCATGCATTTTATTATTCTTATAATATGATAGAAAAATGAAATTGGCCAAATATTTCCAGATGATAGATATTAAGATAAAGATGACCTTTTCATAATAGACAGTAAGAATGGATAAATAAAATAGAATCCATACTGTGAAGCCTAAGAGAATAATCAATATTTCAACAATCTATAAGACGATATTTATGCTTATGCAAGAATCTTTTATAAGAAAAAAAAGAAAAGCTAAACTAGATATGAGTATTAAAAGAAGGTCAATGAACGTGTAGTCGAACTAGTCTTAAGTTTCAGATTGTTTAAGATTAGTGTAGAACAAGTACCTATCTATTACGCATGCTAATATCACATATGTATGATGTTGTTATAAATAAATGTATTTAAAACAAATAGGCAATATCGTTTGATAAAATATTCTTACGATAGGAAGTAAGAAAAACATACTACAGTTTGGTGAGGACAAAA